ATGATCAAATGCAAGTGCATTACAAGGAAAGAGAAGGAGACAAGCAATGGACTTGAAAGGGACAAAAGCCTCACCCTAACCCTAGTTAATATATGAACAAAATGGTATTATTAGTATTGGCTTCCCTCTTGTGGTAATGAGCAAGCTGCAGTCCTAATAACTCATAACCAAATGCTGCTAAGACACCTGTCTAACACAAAAAGCAGCAAGATCCTTTCACCCATACATAAGACAGCTAATTTCAGTTCAAGGCAGGTACAAAGGCACACATGGCAAGTGGTCAAAAGGCTGGAAGCTGCCATATGTATTTCAGAGATTTACTCTGCTATGACTCAGGCCAGTATCTGGCCTACGTTTAAACTGAAGGAAGAGGGGTTCTACTTGAAGGAGCCCTGGCAGGGCTGGAAATGGTTAAATTTCCAGCAGGTGCAGCATGGCAACAACAGTGCAATTTGCTCAGAGTGCTTCATCTGGGACACAGACTAGTTACCTCTGATGGAGAGGGTGGTTCATGGTCCAGACCTGTTCAGTCAACAATCTTTGCTGAATCTATCAGTTTAGTGGGCGTTTCTGTGACAGACCTCAAGGATTTGGACCTGGAGGAACTTCTCACCTACACTGCTGGAGGGGGGAAGTCATGAATAAAATATGTTTTATCAATGGCACTTAAAGCTATTTATAAAGGATGCATTGGTCTCATTCTTGCTCGTTTAAAAGGGGGAGCTGAGGTACTGAATACTTAGGAGTCAATCAGTGAGCCCAAAGCCGAGCTGAAAGTAGGTGGCAAATCTCCCACGTCTCAGTGCTGAAGTGCCCTGCCACTGTGCAAAGTGGTGAAGCTCAGCTATTACTGCTGCCTACCCCCAAAGCACGCCTGTGTTTATTATTCACATACTTTCCCACACCAAGCATTTTCATTACTAGTCAGTGTTTCACACACAATCTTAAAACAGTGAAATGCCCAAGTGATCCCCATCACATTCATCAGTACTAGGTCTTGCTGATGAGCACTTATTTTATCAACCTATGAAGAACATTTCACAGTTCATCCTTAAATTAATCTAGTAGGCTTTGTTAGGTTAGCTTAAAAGATACCATATTAGCACTTCTGTACTGTGTTCCCCTACCATCCCCCTTTTACTACAGCCTACTGTGGTAGCACAGAAAATAAAGTGGAACAACAGGAGCATCCCAGAAGTATCATTTGTGCAATAACACGGTAACTCTGTACCGTACAGGACTAGATCCTGGCCTTGGAGGGCAGGAAAGTGCAGGCAGAGGTGTTTGCTTTCTGCGAGCATCCTGCCGAAGGGCTCACAGTGCAGCAACCCAATGCTAACGTCAAGGAGTTCAGTTGCCTAATTCTGTTAAAAGGGTTTCTGCTCTTTCGCTGAATTCCCCTGTTTTATTTTTTCTCTCTCTTTTTTTTTTCTCTTTTGGTGCATATATGTGGTTTTATGATCATTCTTTCTGGTTTGGGTAAAAAAAAAAAGTTTTTTGCCCCCTATCACTGAGCAAACTAAGCTCTCTGCAAACAGGAAAATAAATCAGGTATTCCTTGGGCAGCCAGACTGCAATAGGGGGGTCACAATATCCGCAGAGGCTTTGCCCCCTGGGGAACTGCTGCAACAGAGCACTTGAACTTACCTGCCCAAGCAGAACAGCCAATGAAGTCAAGGTATGGAAAACATTCAGATGAATTAGATTCAGCAAGAGTCCCAGCTGGCTCCAGAAGAGAAAAGGGCAGCAACCCCTGAGGGAAAAACAACACTCCCTTCAGCAGAGACAGAGAGCTGAGACATGGCATAGCTTCTCCGTGCCACACAATCTGAATCTGACTTGAGTATCACAGGGGGATACTTCCCTGCTCCTTGTAAATAACATTAACTTTTCTCAAGAGGTCAGGAACTCCCTTGCAGCTCCACCCTGCCTGCTTGGGGACCCTCCTCGCCTAAGCTGGGAGCCCCGGGCACAGCCAAGGGGGAACAGCTGGGCACAACTACTGACCAGTAGTTGCAAGGGAGCCCTCAAAACAGGCCGAGTACCAACATTTCAGGTGAGTTTCAAGGAGGGAGAGAGAATTCAGTGCCTTGAACCTTACTTAACATTTTGACTCACTAGTATAATCACTGGTCTGGGTTGTTTTCTTTCATGGAAGCAGCCACAGTTGAACAGAGGAAAAGACTGGTGTGTCCTGTGGAGCTGACCTGCTGGGCGCTCAGCATCATGAGGACACCATGTGTGCTGCGGACAAGCTGCATTTATTTGTTTTTTCTGTGCACTGCTTAGTCGTTTGTGGAACAGCCTCGCTCTCGCTGTGGATTTTGTGGCACCTCACGCAGCGGGGCCGTGATTGAAACACCCCTAATGCTTCCGTGCTGCAATCATCACACCCCTGTGAGGGACACGAAGGTGCTGATTGCAGAGAGCTCCACGGCTGTTGTGCCTCTCTGAGGTCCGTGTCTGCAATAAGCTCCAGGGTCTGTCTAAATTAATCTGAGCTCACACCAGTTCCTATCTGCTTCTTCCCCCACCAGCAAAAACAAAGAGAAGGGAGGCTATATTTTGCAGGATTTCAGTTCTAGCTTGTCTCTACAGTAGATGAATGTGATGTTCATAATATCATTATATTCAGTAGGAATGAACACTTCAAGGTTACAATCCTATAAGCACTGACCTCCCCATGAAGAGGCAGCCCCAAAAGTGGATGTTCGTCCAGGTGCTTCCCAGGGAAGAGTGTGTAAATGGAGTGTTTGAATGCTCACAGGTATGGAGCCAAATGATCAAGCTGAAACAAGCGACCCAGTCAGACATCAAATGATGAGAGATGGCAATGTGGAGGGCTTAATTATTTTTAGGAGAAAAAAAAAAGAATACAATTTTATTGGTGGAGGAATTTCTACAGGTATCCAGCTCAAGAAAAGCTCCATCAAGATTTATATTTTCCTTCCAGGATGAAGTTTAAAGGCACAAACTGTTTATCACTTGTAGGATTTTGCATGACTAAAATTAACCTGAGGGAAGTGTTCTAATTTTAATATTGGAAAACATTATCAGGATTTGACCCATTCCCAAGTTCATTAAAGCATCCTCAGCTTTCAGTTATTTGAACGGCCTCAATAAGCCAGATATTCTTATGCATAAAAATGTTACAAGATCATACGGTGTTTCAGAATAAGACTAGTAAAATTTTGGATATATGGCCCTAGTTCAAATAAATCCATGTCATGGATCCACGCACAGCATTTCAAAACACCCGTGTATGCACATTATCACAAAAACTGGACAGAATATGCTTTTTCTTAAAGAAAAACAAAGACTCTTCTACTACGTTTTAGATATGCATTTCATAGTGCCGCAAATATTAAAATTATTGAGAAGAATGGTGTTATGCCAGGCTTAAATCTCTCTTCGACTACACTTGTACATCTTTGAACGTCACCCTAGCAAGCATGGCTAGAGCCAGAAGGAAATGAATTCCAACATGTAGAGTAAAGCAATTGGTGATCTTGTCTTATCTCTGGTGAGATGGTAGCGCAGCTTCTTTCTTGCAGCTGTGTTTCCTGCAGAGCGTGATTATAATTCCCTACGTTTGATTTGGCCACAGCCATCACGAAAGTGAGCATTAGTCTTTCAATTTGTAGCAACAGCAACATCTAGCGTTTGCAGTCTTCCCTGCTGATGTAGCTGATACTGATGGAGCAAGCCCACCACTGAAGCAATGCTAGTCACACCGCAGAAATAATTACTCAAATTTTGTAGCAGCTCTGTGAAGCAGGCAATCGTTTCACCTTTTCTCACAGAAAAGATGGGAGATTTAGGGAGGGAAAGGGTTTAATCTTTCCAGATTGCTCAGTGGTATGTAGGGCCTGAGCACGCTGTTCAAGGTCACATGGGAAGACAGTGGCAAAGTCAGAGCTAAAATGCAGATTGTCTGCCCTGCACTTTACCTGCAAGGCTGCCTCTCTGCTCCAGGGGACACTCGGATCTAGTTTATCTGAGAGGAGGAAAGAGCTCATTGTATTTCAGAGACAGTTTTGCTGTGCTGGAGGACACCGAGTTGCCTGTGGGGAAGCAGAGCTGATGTTTTCTTTTGAAGAACTTGCACGTGGAGATTTCTTTCGTGGTGCCTCTACATGGCGGGAAGCACTTGTGACTTACAGGAACCTCCCAGGAGCACAGGAAAGTGCATGCGATGTTAAGTCCTGTGTCACTTCACCGTACTATAGTAATTGCAACTGCCTTCAGGTGATCCCTGGGGCACAGACGACTTTTCCCTTCGCCCCTCCACCTGCAAAGACACCAACAACCAGACTGCAGTGAACCCACTGCAGAACGTGTTGCAGCTGCTCACACAACACACCACGGTGGGGCCTGCAAGGAGATTTGCTGCAGTCACTGTAACTGCCTCCAGAGGCACATTCCTACGACTGAGCAAAAAAATAATAACGACTTTCAGCAATGCAAGGCAACATGCAGAAAGACGGGGAGGGATTTTTTGCCCTCCTAGAGAAGGAGGGCCAGGGCTGTGCTACAAGCAGCCATCCCTGCCTCACTCCCCGGACTCGCTAGGCATCCTCAGGGCCCTGACTCACAGCTTTTCCCCTCTAACACTCCGCCACGGCGCCTCGGAGGGGCTCGGGGAGCGGCGCTGGCCGTTGAGCGCGCGCCC